GGGGACCATTGGGACAAGGAGGCAAGGGGCTAGAAGAGTGCAGAAAGCATGCGGTCTTGGTTGCGATATTGCCATTTCACTGAATCAGCGCTTAATGAACTTATTGAGAGCTTCCCTCTCCAGTGGTACAGTACCCTTCGAAAAGACCCTCACTTGAAGGAAGGAGACTGGGTAGGGTTACCTGGCCATGATAAGGAAGTAGGGCGGGTGCATATTATCAACCAAACACAAGCCCTGATCGAGGTCTTCTCCGTCCAAAGGGGTGGGGAGCTACGAGGAAGCCGACAGCCTTTCATCTGGAAAGACAGCACGAGCATATTTCGTACCAGAGTTCTAGATGATGGTAGATGCTTGAAAGCGTACCGACCATCGACCCCGATTGAGGAACTTCCCTTTGACCCTAACGAGTGGCACTCGTCCCAGGAAGGTCGGATTAGGCAGGGGACAACAAAACAATCAAAACAACTAATGTTACATAATTCGAAAGCCAAATCAGTCTACCGAATGCTCCGTCCTAAGCGAAGACTGCGGGAACTAGTAGAGGACAGATGGTATCGGCATCTCAATGTGGACCGCAGTCTGCCCAAACCCATCCGATGGTTCACGCACTACAGGGACAGACCCGCAAAGACTGCTGCCCTCTAGTGGCAAATAGCACATCGATGCCTGCCAACTAACAACTGGCTGATAGAACATACCCGCTTGGAATAGCAAGGACGGGCATTACCATGGTGCCACAACTGCCTCCAGAGCTACCCAGGGAGAAAATGTGCGGAAACAATCGAACACATCTTCCTCCAATGCCCAGCATCGGTACTATTATGGAGGAGTTGGGACAGGATCTGGCGACAAATTGTCCCTAATGCAGAATGGCCATGGGAATGGAGGGCCATATTACTAGGACACAACCCCTCGATCCGGGGAACCACATTCGAAGAGAACATGTTCCATTTGGGCAGGCGGGCTGTTCTTTGGACTATCTGGTGGAAGAGATGCATATTGGAAGTAGAAGGGGCACGGGTGGAGGAAGGAGAAGTCATGGAACAGTTACATTTGTTATTCCAACACGAAATTGGGGCTCAGTGGAAGGCAGCCAGGAATAAGCTTGACCAAATGCACTCCAAGGGAGACATCACTCGGACTATCTCCCGATTCGGTCACGACTGGCTGGGAGGGGTGATCGAAGGGAGACATCACTCGGACTTTGTGCTGCCACGTCGCGCTGGCATTTCAGGCTGCCACGTCGGCCCGCCACCTCAGCACTGCTGCGTTGCCAATACCGCCACGTCATCGATCGATTGATCGATTCGATTAATCGATTGATCGATCGATTGATCGATTGATCGATTGATAGATTGATTAATCGATCGATCGATCGCTTGTTCGATTGATCGATTGCTCGATCAATCGGTCGCCCACCTCCGCAGCTCCACCCACCTTCGCAGTTCCGCCCACCTCCGCAGCTCCGCCCAGCTTCGCAGTTCCGCCCACCTCCGCAGCTCCGCCCAGCTTCGCACTTCTCTCTCCCTCTCTTTCTCGCCTTCTTTCTCTCTCTGTCTCTCTCTCTCCTTTTGTCCGTCTCTCTCTCTCTCCTTTTCTTGGGAAGGGTTCGTTTGAGAGCCGTATGCGGCGGCTGTCGTCTTCGTGGCTTCTTCCTCCTCGCGTATCTGCCGGAGGAAGACGATGAGGTCCTGGAGGTCCTTCTCATCCTCCTCCATCTGTCTCTTGCTCTCAGGAGATAGTGTCCTTCTCCTCTTCCGAGTGCGCGGACGTGGAGGTTCGACCCACCATTCGTCAGAGGAGGACGATGACATGTCGTCATAGTCCACCAT